GAAAAGGAAAAAATGGAAACAAAGTCTTTGTTAATAGGGAAGGGTGGAGGGAGTGAAGGGAGCACAGGAAATGGAGAAAAAATAAGAGCCAAGATACATCATGTAGAGGTATAAGCACCCAATGGTAAATGTAAATATATCGTATACCTAAAATGCACCAATAAAAGAATTTAAGCAAAAAAAAAAAAAAACAACGTGAATATGTCTGTGTGTTCACTATGAGTCATTTACCTGAATTCTGAAAGTGACAGTATCCATATCATCCCAAGCTGTGAACTATCAAATTACACACTAACAGAAGGAAACATAAGTGCATGCAATATAGTCATGCTATGAGTAACTCAGGTACACATTCACATGTGTGCATTCATACTACAGAACATTCAGTTATACAGCAGTGAGAATGATCTACAACCACACATGTGGAAATGCACTGTGTATTTGCACAATATGTGTTAATGTTACATAGCAATAGAATAATCTATAGTGACATGGTACAGCATGGATGACTCTCTCTCCAACTCCATCCCCCAAAGAAATATTAAATGAAAGAAGCCAGACACTACTGAATACATATGATAGAAGTCCATTTACAGGAAGTTCAAAATATGGCAAGGCTTATGTGGGCTTTTACAGCTGAGGACCCTGGACACACTGGGGTGGAGAAGACACAATGACAAGGAGCGAGCGAGTGTAGGAAGTGTTCCCAAATGGTGAATAACATTTTATTTCTGAACTGACTATTGGTTCCACAAAGTTTGTGAAATGAGTCGCAATGCACACTTAGTTGCACTTTTCTCTACACATTATACTCCGCTGTGATTGAGCGCACAGGGACTCTACTCAGATGAGGAGAATTAGTGTAGCAACAGGACGATGAATGTGATGGTTCTTAGCTCCCTGTCCCCATCTCTGTTCCAATTGAATTTTGTTCTATTTGTGGTCTATTTCATATAAAGTTGTTGAATTCCAAGAGAGTGGGGGAGGAGAGACAGAGAATGAGAATACTCTTCCCTTAAAGAAGGGAAATACATCCTTTGTCTTTTAAGGGTGGGCTGCATATTATGACTTCCTTCCAAAGAGGGCAATTTGGAAAGGAGTGAAGAGAATAAGTTTAAAGTACAAAAACCTGGCAAACAGAAGCTCTACCAGGTGATCAAGGTTAACACCATCACTGGTGTGTCAAATTGACAATATGCAACCTGGAGATGATATGGTGAGAACACAGCACTCTGTCTGTGGTCTTCCGCCCAAGCCCAAACTGAGAGATGGTCCACAAAACGCTTAACATAGAACCCCTCAAAACTGTGAAGACCTTCAAATCAAGGATGACCTAAGAACCTGTTGGAGACAGGAGGGGTCGGAGGAGACATAACATCTCAATGGCAGATGGACCCCTAACTGGGATCTGGGAATAGAAAGGGACATTAGTTAAAAACTAAGGTAATGTGAATGCAGTATGGCCTTTAATCATAATGTATCCATATAGGTCCATGACATGTTATCCTACTCATACAAGATGGGAAGAATAGGGTAAAGTTGGGTGTACTGAACTTTCTGTAATATCTTTGCAACTTTTCTGTAAGCCCAAAATTATTCCAAAATGAAAAGCTTGTTTAAAGATTTTTAAAAGCCTGCCTAATAAATATTGGGTTACACTTAAACTGGGAAGCATGACCTACAATATTAAATTATTAACAATAAGAAATGACAAGGTTAGGAAAAATGAGTATCATAACCCAATAAATAGTAATAATGCAGGAATTATTCTTTACTTACTCTGCAAGATTCAGTGAACTTCTGGCAATTAAATTTTTTTTGGCAGTACTGGGAATTGAACCCAGAGTGGCTGAGCTTTATCTCCCTACTCTTTTTAAAAAATTTTGAGACTGCTATGTTGCCTAGGCCTGCAATCCTTCTGCCTCAGCCTCTCAAATAACTGGACTTGTATATATCACCGTGCCCAACTCTGATAACTAAACTATATAAATGTTAATTATTTCTATTTACTCCAACACATTAAAGTGAGAACTGTATGAACTATTACTCAGATATTTCAAGTTAGACTCTTTATACACCGAAGAGCTGAGTGATGAAATAGGGAATGTTTTTGTTAGTAATTACTGACTATTAAAAATTAATTTTCACTCCACTGCACTCTTTCAACAAATATAATAGAAGCATCATAGAATGTTGGAACTGAAAGGGACATTTAATGGATTAGTTCAGCTCCTTAACTTTATATGAAATAACTGAGTGCCAGAGAATTTGAGACTTTCCCGGGGTCATAATAAATTGGTGGGCAAGCTGGAATTCACTTATTCAGCTGAGCAAGTATTTATTGAGTATTAATGATGTTTCAAGAACTGTGATGGGTGATAAAGATCTAAACAGAGTGAAACTTTATCTTTCACTAGAAGAAGGTTACGAGGGACGGGCAGGGAAATGAACCAGTCTGTTTAATTCCATGGGGAAGCAAGCTAGCAGACACAAGTACAACATGCCGTGAAGATGAAGGGGCAGTTGTCCTGACTCAGCTTAGGTACCACTTGAACCTTTGGAAGCTGGGTAGAACTTATAGAGGTGAGAAGCCCAGAAGCAGGTACTCCAAGCTCAAGGCTGATCATCAGAGTCAAAGGGAGGAAATAGTATGTTGTACAGGAAACTCAATGCTGTCTGCTATCTGAAGAATATTGTAAGCAGGAAGCAAGATAGAGTAAACTGACCATGCTACTCCATGGAAAGGGTTTCCTAATGAGCTGAGCCTTTATCCTGTAAGAAATGTGAACTTCTTGTGAGAATCCTATCAAAGAGCTTACGGTCGTACTCAAAAGCTAGTGGTAAAGGGCTGCTTTAGAAAAGTGGTAGTACACATGGAGAAGAGGAGTGGATTCAAGAAGTATTAAGGAAAACAGTGATTAAATGGATGAGGATGGGAGGAAGATGGAGGCGCAAGCCAAGGAATCTTGAGCCGAGCCTCTAGTTCAGACCTCAGGAAGCACACATTAGCACACCCCTCCTTTTACACATTTTTCTACCTCCACCCCTAGGATGCAGCTTTGAATACAACAATCACTTGTTGCTATCTTTACTAAAAAAAAGCAAACGATAACACTTATGCTTATTCTGTCTTATCTAGGACAAAAGATATCTTCTTGACTCTTGTACACATAATCAAGGGGGCTCACTGAGGTCATTCTTTGGATAACTATAAGAATTTGTTTCCAATGTTAGTTTCTCTACTCCAAGGCTGCATAAAGTCCGCCCTGTTTCAGATACAGTCCAGGTGGTGACCACCTTTAATTGCTACCCTGACACACCTGTGTTGTGCACAGGTGACTGTGGTTGATTGTGCTGCCATTAGAAGAGGGAATATAGGTAGAGGGTCAGGAGAAAAGAGAATGAGTTCACCTTTTAAACATCCAAATTTTAACTGCCTGAAGAATATTCAGTTAGAGAAATTCAAATGGCAATAAGATAGTCAACTCTGAAATTCAGGGAGAACCTACCAATTTGAGAGGTATGACTCTTTGGTAAGAAACAAAATACATGAAAATGGATGCTGTGTTTCAAGGACAACCTCAAAGATAGGAAGAAAAGTGGAAAAGAAATAACAGGCTAAAGATGCAAGTCACAGATTGCCAGCATTTGGAGTATAACTGTTCAATTGAAGATTCAATGACAGGTAATACGTTGTGGAGATCTAACGTGCAGCTTGGTGACTACGGTTATAACAATATATTGCGTACATAAAAACTGCTGAGAAAGTAGGTCTTTAATCTCACCACACAAAAATAACTATGATATGATAGATATGTTAATTAGCTTGACTGTGGTCATCATCTCGCACAATATGTTCACATATCAAAACAGCATCTTGCACACTGTAAATGTGTACAATTTATATTTGTCAATTATGCCTCAGTAAACCTAGAAGACATTTTTGAGAAAAAGAAAATTCAATAAAATAGTCAGAAATCTATCAGAAAAGCTAGAAAAGAGTCATTTTATCCCAAAGCAGAGAAATTCAGTTTTCAGAACAAAGTGATCAATTATGTGTGTCTAGAAAAGGAGACACTAAAAACAGTTCCTAGAGTTCCTATAAAAATATCCACTAATTTTGTCAATAGAGGACATAGGGAACTCTAATGAGAGCGATTTCCATGCAGTGAGTGCCCTTCCTTGTATTGAGGTAGGTGCTGACAGTGTGTACATGCTGCTATCCTAGACTGTTCTTTGAAGGTTTGGATGAATTTAGGAGACGGGCCAAAAAAAAAAAAAAAAAACAATATGTAGAGGCAGAGCTGCATAAGACTCTTCTGTTGTCTGTTTGACTTTGGATGAAATGTTTAGTTCTTTTGTAGACTACAAGGAAAAATGCCCAAGAGAAGACAGGTGTTGATGAAATAGGAGGAGAAGGACAAGTCCCTGGAGGGTCAAGGTCAGAGACAGGGCACATGGAAGAGGGGCTGGCACCTCGCATCTCAGCCCCAGAAAGGAAGGACACGGGCAGCAGCATAAATACATAAATGTGCGGACGAGTGTGTTGGACTGTTGGTGTGTGTGTGTCTCTGTGTGCACCACATCTGCGTGTGTGATCCACACAGGGTGGTGGGCATCAGGAAGTTGAGGAAACTGCCTGAAGGCTGCTCGTCACTTGTAATTTTTTTTCTGGTAAGAAGTAATGTGAGAGTGAGGTTCGCCAAAGTCCTAGGAGAGCAGGTAGTGTTTGGATGAAGACTGAGGTGAGTCAGCAAGAGAATTATTGAAGACAAAATTTAAAAATTAAACCAAAGGTGTTAAGAGTGGACAAGTCTTATTTTAAGGCAACAAACTGCAGGCTTGTATGATTTTTTTTCAGTTGTGATTAACTACTAGAACTTTTAAAAGGCATTTGTTAAGTATCCTTTACTGTATTTTGGCATAATGCTCTGCAAACAGGATCTCAGTCCCAGTAGGTCAGCTCCTTTATTACTTCAGCTTTCAAGTTAAGTCACTTCTCCAAGGTTGTGTAGCTGATTAAAAGGCAGAGCACAGGTCTGTCTCAGTGCAAAACACATGTTGGTAACCATATGCTGTTTCCTCGTCCCAAGGAGTGGGAGCTTTAAGAGTTGATAAGGTGTTTGGCTAGCCTTGGGGAACTCATAATACACAAGAGTAGATATGCTAATAAGTAATCCCCAGCAAATGCCAGGGATTGCTCTACTCAGAAAGCAAAAGCAGGAACTCTTCAATCCTTCTAAGACTTCAGGGAAGGCTTCTCAGGGAGCAGACCCTCGACAGCTGACCAGGTATGAATCAGTAGTCACCAGGTAATTAAGGAATCAGGCCTTCTGGATTTGAGGATGAAACATAGGGACATAGGCAAAGAGGCAGGGGTGCTATGCCCTTTCTCTATGTACCTGGGATATAGAGAGACTGCTGGGTGAAGGTAGGAGACCTGAGAGAGATATGGGTTCAAATAATAAGGGGCATCGTATCTACTGACAACTTACTTTATCCAAAAATCATTGCATGACATAAAGTTTTAAAGAAGAGAATGACATCAGATTTGAGTTTTGGAAATATGACCATGTCAGTAACAAGCAGGATGGATTCCAGAACAAGGAGACTAATAATTTTAAACTGTCACTTACTCTGAACACAGGGTAGGTAAGCAGTTTTTATACATTCAGTGATTTAATCACAGGGATTCCATGACGGAAGTGTAGTTATTTGCACCTCACTAGTGAGGAAGCCAAGGACCTGACAGGCTAAGTAGCAATGTGCCCAATGTCTCCCAGTTTAGAAATGGCTGAAGCAGAACTTGAATCCAAGGAGACCAGCTGAGCCTTATGGCCAGTGTTTATTCCACTGTTTTCTTATTTTTCATAGTTTTACTGTTTATATCTGAATGTAGATCTTATGACACCTGTACTGAGGTGAATAATGTCCCACTCAAATCCATGTCTATGCAGAACTTCGGGAAGTTCTTACTAACTGTATTTGGGAATAGAGTCTTTGGGGCGTAATTACTGTAGTTGTTGAGAAGGTGGACCCTGAATCTGATGACCAATGTCCTTGTAAGCGGAGGAGAGAACACAGAGAGAAGAATATAAAGAAGAAGACAGGTTAGAGAGGTGCAGCCATGTGGCACGGAGAACCGAGGGTCCTCAAGACTCATTGGGAACTAGGAAGAGCCAAGAAAGAAGTGACCCCTGGAGACTGCAGAGTGAGCATGCCCTGCTCACACCTTCATTTCAGACTTTTAACCCCCAGGCTGCGAGACAATACGTTTCTGTTGTTCTAAGACACCACCATTAAGATGGTTTGGAACATAACGCATATCTTTATGCCACTTGAGTTTCCAGTTAGAGTTACCTTATCCGATATGTATTTATCATTGGGTACAAATAAGTCTTGTTACTGCCTTCCATTCCCTTTCCCTGATAGGTAAATCACACTTGGATTCTCAAGGGTAAAGCTGCTTTTCTCTGAATGTTGATATCGTTACCTGAATTTTCAGTATTTGGGGTTACAAAAAACATTTTAACCCTCACCTCATAGTAACATGAAGTTAAGGCTTACTTTATCAACAGGACAACAAGCTCTATGCTTGAAGAAGGTCTGAAAGTATTCAGACCTGCTCCAGACTTTGCTTTTGTACTGACCTAGAAATTAACAATCTGTTCTTATGCAAGACTGAAATATTTGGTATTGTTTGCAAAGTGTATGCCAGCCAACTGGGCAATCCAACATGAAGGATGTCTTTTCAGATCTTTCAACCCTGAGTTCTTACAACACAGAACTGTAGAGTTTTAGAGCTAGCCAAACAGAATCAGCACATAATGAATAGTAGCTAAAATTGTTTTGACTTCCACCAAAATAGTGGTATTGACTAAACTTTAGCCTTACATCATCAGTCCTTTTTGTTGGCAGCCATTTTCTTATTGATGTGGCACTACTTCACAAGTGTTCCTGGGATCGATTCTCTTTGTCATTCGTCACAGAGAAAAGTTGGACACAGAAGCATCTGAGCTTTCCTAGGGCTGCCTACTCAGACTCATCAGTCACAGAGACAGCCCTGCACACACGTACACATATGCAGACACACACACACACACCCACACACACACAATGTTTCTGTGTTTGTTTTGATGAATTAGTAATGATAGGACACAAGATGCAGGTCTTGGGATCAGTGATGAGAGAGTTCTTGAATTTGGATTTCGTGTGAAATGTCTCGTCTTCAGAAAGGTTCCTTGTCCATCTGTCACCTGTTTTATTTTAGTATAATACTTACTTGGTTTTTTTATTTAATAATTTACTCATTAGCTTGTTGTCTTTCCAGACTCATGGGCTCTTAGATGTCTCAGTTGCCTTATTCACTTTGATATCTACTGAGCCTAAACCTATACCTTGTTTTCATCAAAAGTTTATTCAAAGAATGAATCATGAGTGCAGCTAGATATTCTGAAAACTGTAAAGCGGAAGGATTGGGAGAAAGGAGCAGTGATAGAGGCTATAGGTAGTTGAAGTCAGGAGTTGTTTAGCAGAGAAGTAGAGCGGAGAGTGTTGTGACGATTGAGGACAAGAATTTGGGGTAATGTTGGAAAGAGATTGGCTTTAAGACTGCAGAGACCGGGCCGGGGATTTAGCTCAGTGGTTCTGCTGCCTGCCTTGCAGGCACAAGGTCTCAAGTTCGATCCTTTGTACAAAAAAAGAAAAAGAGAAAGACTGCAGAGACCAAGGAAGAAGGTGTTCAAGAGAGGGGCACAAAGTTGCTACCAGAGGGAGACAAAGGGCAAATGGTAAAGGTGTATCTTTCAGGTAACTGTGTAGGAAGGTGCTAGAAAGTGCGCTGTAACCTAAGCATTTCCAAAATATGACAATGAAATAACATGCAAAAAAAGGATAGTGCTGAATTCCCAAGCACCATTAAACAGAGGTATTGTAATAACAATACAGATTTTTAAAACTTATATATATGCTTACATATATATTCCATGGAAAACAGCATTTTAACATAACATTTGTATTCAAAAAAATTGATCCGTATTTTCAGATGAATTAGCCAAGTTAAAATGTGTAAGCCATATTCAGGTAAATACTCATAAAGTTGCCTAGCAATGGAATGTGTTTTTGCCTGTTCTCTCGACAGGTGATCCCATGTGGCTTTATATAGGAAACAAAAGAAGCTTATTTTACCCAAAATATCCTAGGTATTTATTGCCCAATGAAGAAATTGTGGAAAAAAAGCAGAAGGTATCATTGTGCTGAAAGACACATGTAGAGGTGTAGCTGTACCAACATTACCCAGGGTCACCTAGTTACATTAAAAATTTCTGAATAAACAGCTCCAGGGGAAAAAGACATTTTCCTTTTCTGAGTTCATGTGTCTCTGTGCTATTGTCTGGGCATCTTTTCAATTTTCCTTTGTGGGCTTGGCTGTTTTTGGACTGGAGACTTCTTTTTCTTATCTGTAGGGAGGAATGCTTTTCTAACTAGAGCCTGAAGATGTTGCTGGGATGACAAGGCTTGTGTGGGTTGACTACAGGACACAAGAGAGTGTGTAGCTCTCAAAGAACTGAAACGTGGGCCCTACCAAAGGAGAAGGTAAGGTCAGCATCCCAACACAGGTAGCTGTGTCCCCTCTCCTGCCTCCATAATGCCAGTGGCAGTTTCACCCTCTCTGCCGTGCTCAACCTGGTGGCCAAGAGCTTCAGCAAGCACTCAGCACAGTGCTCTGTTAAACACTCTCCTCTTAGGGAGAAGGTTGGCCACGATTGTCAGAGGCTGGAGTGATGGCCAAGGGACTGGATTTCATGTGTTAAGGACCATGGTCCCAAGCCACTTCTGCTGGCCATGTTTGGCCTCCATGCAACCTTGCCTGGGAATTCTGAATCTGATGAGGCAAGAATTGATAAAGCAGAAAAGGGAGAGACCAGAGGAAGAGACCTTTGGATGAAAAGTACACAAGAAGCACAGTCATTAAGATATTTCTAGGCAGAAGAAGTAATTCAGAACTCATTTTTCTTACCCAAGAAATCTGGAGGAAGTCCGCCCCAACAGTGTCATCCAGGACTGGGGTCTCTCTCATCTGCCAATCTGTATGTTCTCCTTGTCTTTGTCCTCTCCCTGTAACCAGATGGCTGCTCCTCTTGGGGCTCACAACAGCATTCCAGTCAAATGGCAAAGGGACCACAGGACAACTCTAGCAAGGCTATAATTTTTTAGGAAAAATATTCTCTTCCAGGAATTTCTACCAAAGTCTTTTTTTTTTTTTTTTTT